GCCCATCACCACGCCCACCTCCACAATCAACAAAGTCTGCGCCTCGGGCATGAAGTCCATCATGTTGGCCGCTCAGAATCTGATGTGTGGACACCAGGTAAACGACTGGTTTACTTAACACTTTGCAGTCACTTGGCGCAATAATTTGACGGTGAAAATTATACGTTCTGGTGACCTGGTGCAATTCTGCGGCAGGCCCGAGAAGTCCGTTGTGGTCATTCTCCTGGCTGGGTGACCAGATGGGGTGTTTTGTACTGCTGGCTGTGTGACTGCAAAGTGTTAGACTTTGTTTTTTACCTCTTTCTTCGCTGGTACCTGTGTGGGTGTCGCAGGGAGAAACAATTCACTACCTCAGAATGACAAAAGTTCTATCTGCTGAGTACCTAGTTCTGAGAAATTTGGAATTAAAAAAATTCAGAGTTTCACAAAATGTCAAGTTTTTTCGAATGCAATTCTTTGAATATCTTGATAACGACTGCAAATGATCTTACGATTTTGATAGAGCAGATAAAATATTTGGTTTCTGACCTCATGGTCCTAGTAACACAGAACGGCCAGAAATGTCAGATAGAACTTTGTATTTTTGAGGTAGAGAGTTGTGTGTCTGCTGTGAGTCAAGTGGCTCGGAGGAGGGTCAGGTTGTGGGCTCTGAGGGTGTCCTTGACAGTCGATCCAGCAACCAATAATTGGTAGCATGAGCAACTTTTGTTTTTTCTTGCTTGATTGTACTGGGCTTATTGAAAAAGTGCAAGGCAAAAGAGGAAGAGGACGACCAAGAATAACTAACAGAACTTGAACAGATGTGTGGTGTTGAAAAACCAGATTGATAAAGGTTTTATTTTGAGAACATCTGAGCAGGAAAATGGAGTTCAGTTGTGAACTATGATCTGTGGCACTTTTGTGACCTATTTGTGTTACAAGTGCCGGAAAACTTTGAAACTGAAATAAAATGAAAAGAAAAGTAAATTTTGACGGCTGACACATTTTCTTCTTCTAGAAATGAAAACAAGTCAACAACTTAGTGATCACTTTTTATTGTAGCCAAGCTTTGCATTGAGGAAATCCTGTCTGAGAAATTCAGTGGCTGCCTGGCCTGATTTGGACCGGTCAAACACACTTATGCTGCGCTTTTTTAGTTTTAGTAGAGGTTTTACGGCGCTCGCAGCTGCATAAGGCAAGGTTATATGAGCACCAGAAGATAAGAGGTGTTAAAAGAGAGTAACGAACATATAGAAGAAGAAGGGGAGATAAGGACGATAAGTATTTGATAGGAAAGAAGGATCAAACCACACTAGAGCACCCGCCAACCACCCACACGCTGCGCTTTTGATATGGCTGAGATGAACAGGAAATGATGAAGAATCACTCGTTTAGCTTTCTTCTACTTTGTTTCGTCAGGTGTGACAATAGAATTTCTAAATTTTATTGATATATCTGGGAAACTTATTATACATGTACTTGCTTGTGATCCGCAGGAAGTGATGGTCGCTGGTGGCATGGAGAGTATGTCGAACGTGCCGTATTACCTGAAGAGGGGGACAACTCCGTACGGAGGCGTGAATGTTGTGGTGAGTTATACGGACTGACAGACCACATACTTATGGAAAGTTTTTGTTGAGTTAGACAGACTGACAGACCACGTACTAATGGAACGTTGTGATGAGTTAGACAGACTGACAGACCACGTACTTATGGAACGTTGTGATGAGTTATACAGACTGACAGACCACGTACTTATGGAACGTTGTGGTGAGTTAAACAGACTGACAGACCACGTACTTAATAGGACAGTTGTTCCAAGGCCCAGTTGGAGAGCAGCAGTCACTGAGGCAGCAAATCATAGAAGGTTTCACAATACAAAATGTGTCACGACGTGGTGGAATCAGGCGCTCGTTTATTTGTGGACATGTGAAGTTATTTGTTTTGTCTTGAAGATTGTTCATTTGTTTTGCTTTCAATGAAAAAAATACCTACCTATCTTAAATAGAAGTCGAGGTATTTGCTATCGAAGGAGGTGGGGTAGCCTGGCTCCAGTGAAAAATCTCACTCTCTCTCTATCACTCGTACACACTCATCCACGTACATAATAATGGTTCCACTGTGTCCATGATTCATGTCTTGTTCTTTCCCTCACAGGACGGGATTTTGTATGATGCACTCACGGATGTTTACAACCATTGCCACATGGTGAGTGCTTTTCAACAAAAGCTTTTTTTGTTGGTTTTTTTTGTTAAGTTGTTATTGGTTTTTTTTTGTTAAGTTCTAATTGTTTTTTATGCATGCATTGAACTTACTATAACAACCACCAGTCCCAGACTATTGCCCGTTTAAATGACCACTTCCCATTCCACTCCTTGCATCTTTGTTTTAATATAACGCCATTGTTCAAATTGTCCATATACTTTAGACAACCACTTTTCTCCTTGACAATGGGCAACCATCTAGGACATTTTCAATTGTGCTTGCAATTATAATTGCAGTCTGCTTAGAAGTTGTTTTTTTTTAAGTTAGTAAGAGTATTACAGCACTTGCAACTCAAACAGGTCATATAAGTGCTAAAGTTTAGAGGTGTCACTAGAGAGTAACATACAAAGAAAAGTAGGAGGATAGATCAGGACGATAGATGTTTGATAGGAAAGAAAGAGCAGATTATGGTGCTCATATGACCGTATGCAGTTGCGAGCGCCGCAGAACCTTACTAAAACGGAGCAGATTATAACAGAGCACCTGCCAACCGCCCACTCATAAGGTGTAAATTGTGTTGATGGAGACGTGAAACACTGACTGGGACTTGTTGTCACCCCTGACAGGGCAACTGTGCGGAGAACACGGCAAAGAAGATGAACATCGGGCGGGAGGCACAGGACGAGTACGCCATTCGCAGCTACACGCTGAGCAAGCAGGCCGCGGAGGCTGGGGTGTTCGACAAGGAGATTGTACCCGTGGAGATCCCGCAGAAGAAAGGTCAGGGGTCAGGGGTTGGAGGTCGTTTTGTGTGGTGATGTGTTATGGCTGATGTGTTCTTGTGTGTGTGTGTGTGGGGGGAGGGGGGGTTGTGTGTATGTGTTTCTCTGTGTGCGTGTGTGTGTGGGTAGGCGGATGTGTGTGTGTGTGTGTATGTGGGTGAGTGTGCATAGTGTGTGTGTGTGTGTGTGTGTGTTTCTGTGTGTGTGTGTGTGATGTCATTTTATTTGTATGTTTAGTTTTAGCAAAATACAGAATAATATTGATTTAGTTTTTTTGGTCCAACTTCTTCTAACAAGAAATTCTGGGAAAGCAAACATGAGTGAAATAGAAGAGAAGTAAATCAGTTTTGCCTTCTATGGTATAGAGTAGTTAAATTACTTGATTATCTCCCTTGGTTTTGCAAGTTTCCATTTCTGTGCTTCCAGTTTCTGAATACAACAAATATTCATGCATCTTTTAGATGAATGAAATAACTGCAAATCCCAACAATGTACCAAAAGAATAAGAGTGTAGCACTTGTTTCGGTCTTATCAGAGATGGATGTTAACCCTTCCAGCCCCAAACGCGTATACTTTCAGCATAGCTTGTACCTTCCACTGTCCCAAGAGTGTATATTCTGTTTAGGAGGGTACCGAATTGTCATATTTTTCGAAATTGGCAAACCTAATTAAACGTTAATTCATAATATTTGTTCATTTACTTTTAAAGATTGTTATATGTTATTATCTAAACCTCATTACAAAGATACATATCAGTTTTTAGAATGCTTGCCTCTTTTTCTGAAATACCGCTGTATTGGCTGGGACTGGGGTTAGCGAGTGCACAAAAAAGGCTGGGGCTGGAAGGGTTAAAGTAGGAGGTCTTGCCTTTTAAATAACCTTACACTAGTATTGCAAGGAGTGTTAAATCTATACAATTTCGTACACTTCACACACACACACACACACACACACACACACACACACACACACACACACACGCACCTTTTGATTCTGAGGAGGGAGAGGACACATAGCTATGATGTTCTTGCTGCCTTTTTCTTAAAAAAACAACAACAGTTAACCTTTCTTTATAACAGATAAAAATCGTGTTTCACAAAAAATATTTGTTGGTAGATTTGCCTCTGGTAGATCTTATTTCTTCCCAATTTCTCTGCCCTTTCTGTCTGACACTGACAGTCTTTGCTTTTCCCATTGCTTTGAATTATTGTTATTGTTTCCAGGACATGCTTCTTTGTCACTCCTACAAACTTTTTTGAAAAAGTGAAATTTCTTTTTCTTCATAAGGCGATTGTTGACTTCAGTGTTTGACTCGTTTGTTTTTTCTTCTCCCTATCAGGAGACCCAGTGGTTGTGAAGTCGGACGAGGAATACCTGCGTGCCAACTTTGAGAAGTTTAAGACTCTGAAACCTGTTTTCCAGAAAGAAGGAGGTGAGTGAGAGGGACGGGCTTATGTTTACCTCAGTATCACATTTAGAATACTTGCTTCACTTAAATAGATTTCTTTTTTTGTCGGTTAGCGTAAGTGTATTAAAAAACAGCGGAACCTGCTCTAACGGCTACCTGTCCAAGACAATCACTTGTACGAACAACCGTCCCCCCC